TATTATTATTATTATTATTGTGTTAAAGTTATAGCTGAGGCAGCTGTCTTACTGGACTCACTGGGATTTATATTTCAAGTAGCCATGCACAGAATTGGGGTGTTAAAGAGGTTTCCAGAAACTTGGAATGAATGTACTTCCTCAACCATAATTCAGTCACTCCAATCAGAGGCTTCAAAAATTCCATTCAGTGTACAGACAAACTTTACTGTAAGCTATCTCTAGGCTACAAGTACAGCCACAATGTAAGATCCACACCTCTGTAACTTCAAGTACTGTAACTGCAAACTGTAATCTTAGCATACTCATTTTTCATCATGCCTTGAAATGCTAACACCAGATTCAGCTGCATTCTAGTATTTTCCTTATATATTTACTAAAATCAACAATTAAGAACCAAGAGGATCTGGAGAACATGGTTTTTTAAAGGCAAAGAGTTCTTAGATGTCTGAACAGGAGCAGAAAGCTTTCAGAACATGTGTCAACTTGCAGTACGATGCCCCAGGGTTTTTCCCTCTCACAGCAGTCTGCTCTACCCTCTGAAATTTTATTTTTAGCATATAAGAAATTGACAACCTACAGCACAATGACAGCTAGAAATCTCGGTGAACATTCCTCCCCAGATCTCACAGCACTCAGAGACAATACATTTGGAGTAGATACGCTTCGCATATTTGTTCACTTCAAATTCTTGTACAAATTGACCTGATCCACAGTTCATGCATCAATATGTAGATTAGAATGCAGTTACCTGCTGGATCCTGCATTACTACAAATTCTGCAATGCAGTTCTCAGCTCAAAAAAGTCATATAAAATGTGTAAACGCCCCCCCCCAAATAATATAAAATACAGTATATGGTTTGAGATAAAAAGTCATCCAGAAATATATACTGTGAGAGAAAATATGGGCATTTTATGACTATGTGTTGTGATATTCTTATGTTTTTAAAAACATGTATGTAAGTATGCTATTTTTCCTTTAAATATACATATATACAAATTAATGGGGGAAATGGGATGGATAGGACTTATGAATGATTCCATGTGAAACTACACACACCACAAAGAGAGGGACCCTAATTTGGGAGGCAATTTCCATGGTTTTCTTCCAAGCACAAGATTTAAAAAAGTTCCCAAATGTATTGAGAGGTCCCTAATATTTTCCAGTAGCAGGTTCTTCCTTTGGTGCCACAGCAAGCTCTGCCTCTGATATTACATGCTGCAAACCCCACAGTAAAGAAGATAAAGCAGGCAAGTTCAGAATCTGCCTCTGGTTAAAAAGAAGAACACACTGCACCACACTTGCTCTTACCCCATATCCCTCCCCCTTCTTCTCAGAGCACATGCAAAGAAAAAAGGTATATTTGAATCAGGTTCAGCATGTTTGAAATCAGTTTTTTAAAAAGTGACTACACACCCCACATGGAAGTGTGGATTTTTTTTTGCCTGGGAAGCATGTCTTTTTGTTTGAAAACTGAGGTATTTTACTTGGCTTTCAGAAGGTCATTTTTTAAAAAATCATTTGTGAAATCAATTTATTTTCAACATATGGTATATACGTGAATGCCTTTGTCAGTGTAAATTACCATATTTGCCGGCGTACAAGACGACTTTTTGGCCCTGAAAAACATGCCTCCAAGTGGGGGGTCGTCTTGTACGCCGGGTGCATGTCCAGCAAACTCTCCCTCTCTCCCAGCGAAGTCACTTACCTGGTAGTAACACCGGGTAGAGCCCCGCTCCTAGCCTGGGAACAGCCTGACTCTAGCGCCGAACAGCGGACTGTCGGAACAGCAGAGAGGCGGCAGCTATTTTGAGATGCAACCACATGGCTGCCGCCTCTCCAAAATGGCTGCCGCCTCTCTGCTGTTCCTTCTTCCAGCAAACCCTGGCTCTCTCCGAAAAGGAACCAAAAGGGGCAAAAGGAACTGTCCCCATGATGCAGCCAAAGCAGAATCACGCATGCGGAAGAGGGGGTAGTCTTATACAGCAAGTATATAACAAACTCTACGTTCTGAGTGGTCATGTTGGGGGGTGGTCTTATATGCCCAGTCGCCTTATACACTGGCAAATACAGTATGTCTATGGGGTTTGCCATTCACTGGTGTGCCTTCCATGCCCCCTCTTTTTCTCCACCCCTGGAAGTGTACATGTGTGACTTTTACCTTCACAAGCCTAGAAGTGCCGATCCAGTTAAAATGTCTCAGTTTCAGCCTTGTCTGGCAGTTTTGTACTTCCTTTCCTTCTCCACATCCCTGTGTATATGTCTCCCTCCTTCACAAGCCTAGTCAATGACTCTGGTCATTCTCTGTCAGACTCCAGTAGGAGTTTGTTCTAACTCCTGCACAAGCCAATCATAAGACAGACCTGTAGGGTAAGTCACCGAACCTGTTCTCTGATGACAGCTGACAAAATATTCTAGTTGGCTTCTAGCCAAGGGATATTATTTATTTATTTATTTATTCATTCATTCATTCATTCATTCATTCATTCATTCATTCATTCATTCATTCATTCATTCATTCATTCTATTTATACCTCGCCTATCTGGTCATTGTGGTTGTGTGTCACTGTGTGTCTTTAGCTGGCCTCTTTTGTGCAATGCTCCCTGTGAACTGTGAAGCTGAATTTCTCGGCATCAAACTCAACCATCTGAATTGGGCCCTACAGGCGAATGGCTATTCCAAGAATGAAATACTGAAGTGCTGGACAATACCAGCAAGCATTATGTTAGACTGCATAGGGAAGCCATTGAAATCCATAAACATCAGCATAGCTTCAACAAAAAAGAGGAAAGTCTGAAACCGAACAAGGCCTGGCTTCCAACACTGAAAAATACAGTCTGCAGAACATCAACGAACTCTGCCCAGCCACAAGGACCAGGGTTCATTGCACAAAAGAGACCAGCTAAAGACACCCATCAACCACAGTGACAGATAATCTCTCCCAGTTACCAC